CCCAAGAAATTTTAAATGCAATTGACAATGGCGAGTTCTTAATAAGGGTAAAATTTATTAGAAATGATTCTGTATATGGAGATGAATCTCAAACAAAGATCGCTTTTAAAATTATTGATAAATATGAGCCTATTCACGAATCAAAAAAGGCAGATAGAAAATACATCAGGGGTGGCCCCAATGTTATACTTACAAAGAAAACAAAACCAGAATTTTGGGTAGGAATAGACGAAAAATTTCTGGTCAGAGAAGTCAGTGAGCAATCTGAAGTAGAAAGACTTGATAGCAATGCAGTAGTTTATGGATTATATCAAATCCGAAAGCCAGATATCAATCGATTAATGCCTATAAAGGATGGTACACTTAACTGTGTAGCTGAACGAGTAATAGAGCATTTTGATCAAGCCAAAAGAGGACATGGACTAACAAAAATTCATCGGCAAAAAATAAATGATTGGGAGAAAAAAATGTGCATTCCAGGTGCTCAAGTATGTGATGTAGCAGAGTTAGAAAAAATTCTCAAGCAACTAATTACATTACTTGAAATAACTCATGATACTATATTTAATAGTGGAAAGTATCGATCAGGTAAGTATGAAGAAATCGGAATAGTAGTTCATAATGGCCATGCATTTTCAAGAAACCAGCACTTCCCAAGAGATCGAATAGTCGAATATTATAAGGGTGATACATGGGAAGCTATCAGTAATGCCCTCAGGGGACCTCAAGCAATCTGGCTTATGGGAGTGGGGGATACAGGTCAAACAATATCCCAGTTTGTTCTAGAAGATGGTCGCACATTTAGAACATGGAAAAAGCATACAGAAATTATAAAAGCATGCAAACAACTGATCAATGATACAATAGATTGGCAATATCAGGAAGGAATAATCAATAAGGAAAAGAAATCGATTCTTTCAGAGTCTCTAAAAGTTGTTGATTTAGCAGAGCAGGTATTTGGTGCAAACCATGCTAGAAGCTGACTTGCTAATGAAATCAATAAAAAATGAGGATTAAACTCATCGGTTGTGTTACCTATTGTTAGGACGATATTATTTATGCGTGAAAATATATTATATAGTATATACTGTATAAAATGGCATCCAATATCTGGAAAAGTAAATGAAAATATAAGGCAAGCCTGTGTCGAGCATGGGCATGGTGGACGCTGGAATACACCCGATTATTACGTCAATGATGTCATATGTATCGATATGAAAGAATGTTATCCAGCAAGCATACGAGGTCAAGAAGAATGTACACCATGGTTCAATAGGTTCGGACATCCAACACACTATCTTGTTCGAGTTGCGGTAAATAGAGAATTGCCGGAGAATGATATTACTGGATTTGCGCAGGTAAGATCTTTTAAATTTGCATCAAATATACATTCAGCGATTTCCGTCTGGTACGGAAAACATTTTGCGTGTCAAAGTGGAAAAGGATGTGGGAAAGAAAAAAGATGGGCACCTATTGTACTTCTACGATATCTTCTTGAGGTTGGTATTCTAGAAAGTGTGACTATTGGAAAGGCAATAATTTTTCTTACTAAACATACCAAAGTATGGCTACCTAGAAATCGAGATATTAGTTGTGCAATTATAGGTAAGTTTACACAAGGTGGCAAGATTGA